ACGAAACGTGAATCGGCTTATTCGAAAACGATGAAAGCATTCGCGTTTCGTGCTCGAGTTGGTCATTTTTCTCAAACGGTCACGTTTATCAACACGACCAAGGTAGATTTTGTAAATGAAACACACGTAAGTGCATATATAAATGAATTTTCTACGAGAATAGATCATTATTGTGCATCCGCAAACACTCGATACGCGAGAACGAAGTGTTGAAAGGAATAGTGAACAGGAGAGCTAGTTTTTTTAGTAGGACGAATTAAAGAGAACAAGAAAGAGAGAGAAATCGTGCACACGTCTAGAGTTATACGCAGAACTCGTTCTGTCGGGAGAAACGAAAGCAAAGATACAAATGTTCTTTTCTAATCAAAATTAAACGTAAGAAATAGTGTCGGTACGTGAAAGAAAAAAAAGAAAAAGAAAAACAAACGGACAGAAATGACATGTTTCTTGTACGCAGTCGTGTATAGATGTGTATTAATATAAACGAGAAAGCAACATCTGTTCATATAGGATTGTATACCCGCAACATTGTTACTTGTAAAATAAACACGTTTTTATTAAATCTCTCGTCAATTATTCATCCCCGGTGATAATTTTCGAGGTGAAGTTTGCTGCGAGTGTATAGCTTTTCCTCTGATTCCAAGGCTCACCGCTTTCCCTAGAACGTTTCCATAAAATGGATTACGTTGTTTGAAGATGCACTCGAATTTTCCGTGAGCTGCCCTTCTATTCTTACGACGATCTAGAACCACTTTGAACAAACACAGTTTGCCAATTAATAATTTTGCACAGTTTTAAAGATCAGAAGAGAAAAAGGAATTGTCAGTAGGCTACCTTTCATAGTGTCCTCTATTATTTCCGGATAAAGTTTCTCCGTGACGCTGCTGCTCGGTGGGTGCAATCGAGGGTTCGTGTTGATCTCGATTAACCAGACCGACAGATCTTCCATTATTAAGAAATCAGCACCGTACAATTGAAAGCTGTTTCTTCGATTGACCATATTTTCTTGAGACGCCAGAAGTGCCCCGATTAAGTTCTGCTTTATACCCGGTTTAATGAGCTTCTCCCATGCCAGTTCTCGATCGGTGGCTCTGGAAAGAAAAAAGAAGAAAAAAGCAGCGGGTAAATGAAATAATTGCTGGAGGTCTGCCTGAAATGTCCCTGGTTAAATGCATACTTGAGGTATTCTTTGAAATTCTGAAGGTTCCAGTGAAGTTCACCGGGTATTTGTGCATTTTGTCTTAATGTTTTCCTGTACTTGAGCTGTACGGTGGTATTGCATAAATGAATCGACTCGTGGAAGTTCTCGAGGGTGAAGTCCTTGGAAGCGAAACGAAGCAGAATATCCCTTTAAAGCAAATGATCTCACGGTGAAGAGAGAAATGTTTAAGCAGCGCGGTTCAAAGGACGGGGAAAAAATCGATACCTGTACATCCAGACGGTAAGGGGTTGCGTGCTGGTGATCAAAAACCATTGCCTAACGTCAACTTTCGTTGCATGAACGAGCAACGGACGTTCTGAAAGTACCGGCAATTTGAATTCGTTTACCTTTCAACACGTACCAATTATCAACGATAGATTCACTACTATACCTATGTACTTCTGCACCACGTACTGCATGCATTCTTTCGCCGCTTGATTTATCTTGTTGAGAATGTCTCGCAGGGAATTCTTAAGAATTATACCACGTCCCAAACTTTTATCGCCCGGTTTCAGAATCCAGACATTCCGCATTCCGTCGATTTCACTCTGAGGACAGCAGTCGACCATTTCTTTCACGGTGTCCGCTGTGAATTTTAACAGCTCCTAGCAAGAAAATATTCGATACAGTTCATCTGTCGTTTTATCCTTCTCGCGAATCGCATACCTCGACGTCTATCTCGTTCTTCTTCTCTAAAATTTCACGTTTGCGCAAAAGTTGATCGTGCCAGGATAAAAATTGTATCCACTCGGACGACGATACGTGTTTGTAATCCTGCCCGTCGACGTCCTCGTGTGCAGAGATGCTGTAATTTGTTTCAGTTTAGAGACACAACGCTGTGTTTGATTGGTTGATTGTTTGGGAAACCTTATGTGTTCGGCGCATCGTTCGAGAGCGAATAAAATCGCTTTTATGGGGACAGTGCCTTCCGAGGACCAAACGGCGTTTGGTCCAGCGATGCTGGCCAAAAGTAAGAACCATTTCAGCATTCCCATGCACGCTGTGATGTAAAAGTCCCGGACGAATTCTTCTGTCTGTGCTGGCTGCACGCGTGTAAAGTATTTCACTGGCAATTACTGCATAAAATAATTGCACACAAACCTGGTAAACGTTGTAACATCGTGGAAATTGGATATTCGACACGCCAGTTTCGTAGAACCAATAAACGTTCTCCAGATTGTTGCACATGTCGACCTAAAACGATCTTTTCAGTTGATAAATCTCGACTAAAGCAATTATAAATATTTTTCGTAGGAACCTTCGACGTGAAGTAGCACCCAGCAAATTTATTCACTATAGTTCTCTCTTCTGTTCTCGAAGACACCTTCTTATTCGTGTACCAGATCAAATTTGCAGGTGAACGTAACAATTTCTCGATCGGTTCCAAACCACCTAAAAATCGAACAACACTCTTTTTCTTATTTCTATCGGAAGCGAGGTAGAGTTTAGCGGTAACCTTCGCCATTCTCAGGAGACATCGAGAGCACCCTTCTGATAAATCTCTTCTCTATCCAGCCTCTTCTCGCTAGGGGTTTCCTCAGCACTGGAAAAGTGCCGTAAATCACGAAAATTTTACGTTCGCTCACTGCCTTTGTCAGAGCTTTTAAAATGAAATGGATCTTCGCCTCCTCGGTGGTGAGAAGCTTCAAGTACTCCCTCAGGATGATCCTACCGTGAGCGTTCACGTTTTCTTTCTCCTCGCCTTCGAGTAAATCGTCGGGATCGTCGCGATTGCAAAGAACCTCGACGTTCGCGGTTTTCGCTGGTTCTGCGTCCGTAATCATCAGGGGATCGGACACTCTTAAAATTAACTTCGATTCCGCTTCGATCTCCTTCGGGTCTTTCGGAGATATCTTACAGAAAATGCAACCAACTAATTCTTTTATCTTTCTTTCAACCAATCCTTTCGTTACCTGCCAACCTAAACAGTGTTCTTTAATCGTGCAATCTGGGGAAGTTAACATAATCTGCCATTTTCGCGTGTTAACACTTTTCACATAGCTCGAGTCTTCCAATCTGTATTCTTCGTTGACCGATATCTTGAAACCTCCTTGAACGTCGACAAATCCACGGTTAGGATCTTCATTCTCAATCTGTTCTTTATTTTCCACAAGAACCATACAATCCCCCTTTAGCCGCATCTCGTAGCTTTTTCACCAACCACGAATTTACATTTTTTAACATTTTTTATTTATTTCAAAATTTTAACATTCCAAAATGTGTTTACAAACTTTTCGTCGATCGATGTGTGCCTTGACAGTTGATAGTTACGTTTCGATACACTTATATGTTCACGAGTTACGATAAAAAATGATGTTTCAATTACGTTCCCGACGATTCTCCCTTTATTATAGCGTTCCACGTATTCCCGCTGGTTCTGTACTTCAGCACAGCCTTGTGCATCGAATCATTCAGCATTTTCTCTACACCGGGCTTCTTAAATATCGGCTTTTTCACTTCTGCATCCTCGTCCGTCTGACTGTTGACAATTTTCTCCGGATCCTGGCTCTGCTCTTCCCTCGCTTTCGCGAGATCCGTCTCTCCAGCTTTGTTCAGCGGCCTGATACTTTGGACAGAGTCGAAACGCGTCTGACGTGGAGCTTCTTGCTCGCTCAACTCACGAATTACTTCTTCCATTGATTTCAGCAAACGTTTATTCCTCACGATTCTGTGCTCGATCAGTTTCCTCCTCTTCGTAGCTCCACCGTCCTGCCATATCGTATTCGTTACCTTCCCTTCGCGAAGAATACCTAAGATTCACGGAAAAATCATTTTCTCCCTTCTCGAGAGAAGACTGGATTTTCACCTAATTTTACCTGGTTGCTCGCACGTGTCCTCGTTTCTCTTACACTCTTCCAGGGAGATTTTGTCCTTCGGCGATCTCTGAGTTTCAGGACACCTGTGAAATCGCGTTTTACAAAATTTCACACCCTGTTTATTATTTCTCAAGTCGTTTCTCTGTCTCAGGTAATCCTTCTTCTTCGGTAACTGCACCACCTTCGTGAAACCATTCTTCCCGCCTCTTTTTGTCGATCGATCCTCCGGACTGGATCTCGCGGTTCTCTCTGGGTGGATGTACGACGTTCGAGCGAACGTTACTCTCGGTGTTTTTCTCCGAGTCGGAGGAATTTGATCGTCGATCGTGTACAAACTGCTGGAATTCGTTCGTGAAACAGGTGTCGCGTTCACCTGCTCGTCGAACTCGCTTTCCGACTCTGTGCAGGTGTCTGATAAATCGAACGACGCCCAGCTCTCGCTTATCGGCAGGAAAGAACGTAGTTTCGTCTGTGAAATGGAGATTTAATAGGTGAGAAATGGATAGATCGGCCTCTGTGAAATTTCGTACCAAGAATCGATGCTTGGGCTGTCGGAAGAACGTGCACTGAAACTTGTCCTTCTCGGTGCACGCGTTGTTGACGTTCGTCTGTTCATTCGGAAGCTTCTGCACGGATGCAGAATTGCCAGAATTCCAAGGAGAATCGACGAATTCCATTCCAAGTGAGAAGTAACGTCAGGAAGAATGTATATTGCTTAATTTTTTCACAAACTAACATTAAATTTTGAAAGGAGATTTTTTCAGCGAGAACGGTCTCCATTTGCCTGATTGTTACACTTATAATTTTGACGTTTTTTCGTTAAGTGGCCATTGATGTTGGTTAATTTAAAGACATATTAAATGGTGGTTCCTTTCTGAAAGTGATTGGATTTTGTTTCACTATTTCGTACACAGTGTATGGAGTGAAGATGTTGAAGAAGAGACTCGACAATTTTAACGATTGTTAGAGTGGTTCTTTATTATCGATCATATACAAGTACAGCAGAAATATAGAATTCGGGAACGGATCAACAGTGGACGGAAGTAACATTGTAACGAGTGCGTGTCACGAGGACTTTGTTATCACTTGGTCAACCTCAGACCGACCGCATACATGTCCGTGATATCTGACAATACTTTGTTCCTTTTCGGACGAAGATATTTCTTCGGTACGTTACGATTTTTATTTTGCCCGGTCGCAGTTTGACCAACTTTGTTCGTCGCTGTCAGGAGAGATGGTAACGTGGGCGTTTCCGGTGGAGTGTTGGACAGAGCAGCGCTCTTTTTATACTTTTTTATCGCGTCTCGAACTGCTGTCTTGATGATCTGTCACGTTAGAAAAATATATACAATATGAAAAGAGAATTAATAGTACAGATTGTTCGTTTATAAAAATTAATCGAACCTTCTCGTCGGTTTGCCTGAAGGATTTCTCAGTTTTCGGGGCCAATTTGGAGGACTGCTTCTGAAAAGCCATTATCTTGGACACCAATGATTGTCTCACAGGAGATGAGTCTGCTTTATTGTTAGCAGTCCCGGTAAAAGTGTTCGGTTTTCTCGGCGATCTTGATGCATTTCTCTGGTTACCCTTTTCCAAGGTAGTAGGTTTCGGTTTCAAATTGCCAGCTGTGCCACCCACAGGCGCACTTTTCACAGTCGATTCTTGTTTATCGATCAGTACAGACGTTTTCAAGGGTTTCGGAGGCGCACTCGCTGGCAGCACTTGCCTCAACTTAGGCGAGTCCACCTTGTAATACGCGTAGAATTCCTGATCGAGCTGTATTTCTAATTCCTCGATCAGATCGACGATCACTGGACCGATCTGATTGTGCACAGTCGATTTCTTCTTCGTCAAGCATGTCTGTAAATTATTTTGATTTAAAAACGAACAAATAGTAACAACTTTTTTTTTTCACCTAAAACGGAAGCTGTAAATCTCAGTTCGAATTTTCCTTTGTCAATTTTTTTAAAGGAGGCAAATTTAAACGTAATTTAATACCAACCATTGGAGACTTGGACACGAGGCTAACTTTCGACTCTTGAGTATTCAAATTCGATTTGTTCGCGCAAGTCGCGATTCTCGTTCCTTGAAGC